TAAATAATCAGTTTCAGATTATACTTTTTGCTACAATTGCATATTGTGATTATTATATAATCATTGGATATATATCAAACATTTTGTTCTGAACAAATTTTTTAATTTGCCTAACAACTAACATAAAGTTTTTAAACTTCACTGCAATCAGAATAAGATTTTACATTTATTTAGGTAGGCTGTTTATTTTTAATGATTTCAATAATCTAATTAATATTATTATTTTGTTTTTTATTTGTTTATTTATTTTTTTGAGACAGAGTCTCGCTCTGTCGCCCAGGCTGGAGTGTAGTGGCATGATCTGGACTCACTACAAGCTCCACCTCCTGAGTTCTTGCCATTCTCCTGCCTCAGCCTCTGGAGTAGCTGGGACTACAAGCGCCTGGCTATTTTTTTTGTATTTTTAGCAGAGACAGGGTTTCACTGTGTTAGCCAGGATGGTCTCGATCTCCTGACCTCGGGATCCGCCCGCCTTGGCCTCCCAAAGTGCTGGGATTACAGGCGTGAGTCACATGTAATTATTAATTGGAATGTGTTGCAGTCTCAGAAACTATGTTTTTGTTCCTTATGGAAAATAAGGCTTACAACTGACTTCCATCAGTTGCTATCTTACTTTCATACTATGTGTCAGCCTCTTTGTTTACTTGGTGTTCAGCTAAGTGTTAAATGGAATCAATTAAATAGAAGTTTCAACTAAAAAGTTGATAAGTTTTATTGTTGAAATTTGCATTGCATAAATATTTATATATCTTTTTGCATTACACAGATTAGAAACATACTTGGATCATTTCAACAACTAAATAACAGGCTTATTTGATCATGAGGGAAATTCAGCTTAAATACGACCTTCAAAAGAACTATCTGGTAGATGTTCATGTATGGAATTTTGATAAATTGATATTATTGGTCAACACAGCATTTTGGTGTTTATTTTTTCTTTTGTTTAATTAATTTATTATTTACAAGTTAATAAATTAATCTTCCCAATATCCTATTTTAAAAGAAAGTTTGACTTAAAATTTAATTACTCATATAAAAAGTTAATCAGTACCTACTTTTGGAAATAATGTCCAAAGCTATAGGAAATACAAAGAAACACAAATGGATAGGGGCAAAAATGAGTTTATGAATAGCAGCACTATCATGTGGAATATAAGTTACACATATATTTCTTATTTCAAAGAGGAGGGCGTCACATTTTTGCTAGTTGTGTTGTTGTGGGGGGAATCCTGATGCGTAGATGATGAAAGTAATTGGGATTTCCCTTGTGTCTATGACTAGGAATAGGGTTTTGATAGGTTAAAAAGATGACATAGTGAATGGCAAAGACATTGTGAGCAAAAGCACAAGTGAACATGTACAAGGTATGAAAAAACAATAAATCATTTTGGTTATACAAAATTAATCACACTTTAGTGTGGTTGTTGATATGGATGAAAAAATATTTTATAAGTTTCAGGATACAAAAATTAATGTTCAGGCCAGGCGCTGTGGCTCACGCCTGTAATACCAGCACTTTAGGAGGTCAAGGCTGGTGGATTACCTGAGGTCAGGAGTTCGGGACCAGCCTAGCCAACATGGTGAAACCCCGTCTTTACTAAAAATATCAAAATTAGCTGGGCGTAGTGGTGAGCACCTGTAGTACCAGCTACTCAGTAGGCTGAGACAGGAGAATTGCTTGAACCCAGGAGGTGGAGGTTGCAGTGAGCCAAGATTGGGTCACTGCACTCCCTCCTGGGCGACGAGAGAGACTCCATTATTTAAAAAAAAAAATCAATGTTCAAAAACTAGTAGCATTTCTATCCTTTCAAGCTGAGAGTCAAATCAAGAATTCAATCCCATTTACAATAGCCACACAAAAAATTAAAATACTGAGGAATACATCTAACCAAGAAAGTGAAACATCTCCACAAGAAGAAATACAAAACAATGCTGAAAGAAATCACAGATGACACAGCCACATGGAAAAACATTCCATGCTCAGGGATTAGAAGAATCAACATCATTAAAATGGCCATAGCCCAAAGTGATCTACACATTCAATGCTATTGCTATCAAACTACCAATGCCATTTTTTTATAACTAGGAAAAACGATTCCAAATTTCACATGGAATCAAAAGGAGCCAAAATAGCCAAAACAAGCCTAAGCAAAAAGGATAAAATTTCATATAGAATTAAAAAGAGCCAAAACCCTAAGCAAAAAAGAATAAAGCCCTAGGCATCACATTACCCAACATCAAACTATACTATGATGTTACAGTAACTGAAACGGCACAGTACTGATACGATAACAGGCACATACACCAATGGAGCAGAATAGAGAGCCTAGTAATAAAGCTGCACACCTACAGACATCTGATCTTCGACAAAGTCAACAAAACTAAGCAATGGGGAAAGGACTCCCTGTTCAATAAAAAGTGCTAGGACAGCTGGCTAGCCATATTCAGAAAAATGAAACTGGACCCCTACCTTTTACTATATACAAAAATTACCTTGATATAGATTAAATATTTAAATGTGAAACCTCAAACTATAAGAATCTTAGACATAAACCTAGGAATGTCATTCTAGACATCAGCCTTGGGAAATAATTTATGACTTAGTTCTCAAAAGCAATTGCAACAAACCCAAAAATAGACAAGTAATGTCTAATTAAACTAAGGAGCTTCTGTACAGCAAAAGAAACTGTCAACAGAATAATCAGATAACTTACTAAACGGGATAAAATATTTACAAACTACGCTTTCAGCAAAGATCTAATATCCAGAGTCTATAAGAAACTTAAACAATTGGACATGCGAAAAACAAAAACCCATTAAAATTGGGCAAAAGACATCAACTGACACTTCTCAAAAGAGGACATACGAGTGATCAACAAACATGTGAAAAAATGCTCTCCATCACTAATCATGAGAACAATGCAAATTTCAACCACAATAAAATACCATCTCACACCAGTCAGAATGGCTATTATTAAAAAGTCAAAAACAACAGATGATGCAGAGACTGCAGAGAAAAAGGAATGCTTACATTCCCACACTGTTGGTGTGAATGTAAATTAGTTCAGCCACTGTGGAAAGCAGTATGAACATTACTCAAAGAACTTAAGATGAAACTACTACTCAACCCAGCAATCCCATTACCAGGTATGTATAAAACAAAATGTTCTACTAAAAATACATGTGCACTCATATGTTCATTGTGGCACTATTCACAGTAGTAAAGACATGGAATCAACCTGGATATTCATCAATGGTGGACTGAAGAAATATAGATATATTATGTACATAATATATATTATATATAATATATATTTATATTTTATATTTTACATATATAATATATAATTATGTTTTACATATATAAAATATATTTAAATATATATAATTAATATAAATATAAATAATATATATTATATATTATAACATAATATATAAATATATATTATAAATGTTTGTATAATATACACTATATATTTATATATTATATATGTTTATATAATATATAATATATTAAATTATATTATATATAATTTGTTAAATATATATTATATTATAATATATAATATTATATATTAAATATATAATATATGTTTATATGTATGTAATGGAATACTACCCAGCCATAAAAAAGAAACAAAAATGTGTTCTTTACAGCCTTTGCGATAACACAGATGCAGTTGGAGGCCATCATCCTTAGCAAATTAATGCAGGAACAGAAATCCAAATACAGCATGTTCTCACTTAAAGTTGGGAACCAAATATTGGTACTCATGGACATAAAGATGGCAACAGTTGACACTGGGACTACTGGGGGAGAAGAGAGTGCAGCAAGGTTTGAAAAACTCACTATTGGATACTGTGCTCACTATCTGGGTGACAGGATCAATAGCACCCCAAACCTCACCCTCACACAATCTACTCAGTTAATTGTGTACATGTACACTCAAATATAAAATAAAAGTTAGAATTTTTTTAAAAGTAGTTTATAATAAAATAGACAATAACTTGATTGACAGAGAAATGCAAATGTTATTTATTAGACTGTGGAGGGTAGATGGTGGGAAGTAGAAGGAGAAGGAGGAGGAGGAGGAAAAAGGGAAAAAGAAATAGGAGAAGGAAGAGAAAGAGTATGGTGTACTTGTAAAGTTTAATCTGTTAGCAGTTAGAGGTTTTGATGAGAGACGAAGTGGGCTGATTGGAAGGCTATAGTAATGCCACAGATTCCAGGTAACAAAGAGCATGTAGTGATGGTGTAAAAGAAATGGTGGGTAAGATTCAAGCATGTGATACCAAAGGAACTTCATTTTTTAAAGTCATAAACTAGTATTTTTTTAGCACATCTTAGGTCCCAAGATATTGAGATTAGAACCAAAGGGCAAAGCATTTTTTTCCTCCCAAATAGATGATTAGCTAAACCCACAAAAAAGACTTTTTGCTAAGATTGGATGGTAATTTTAGCAAATGTTGGGCAAGGAAAACTGAGAAGACAAAGGTTATTGTGAGACTCTGAAACTAAATGTCTAAACTACCATTATTAGGAAAAGAATGGTAAGTAGGAAAAGCATATTTGGCCAGAAATAGTGACTTTTGCTTTAGACAAGTTGGTTTGCATATTTGGACTAGCTTTTAAAATTTCAATCTAGAATTTTAAAGAAAGTTGGAAAAAGGAATGACTTCTCTACTTGATCTTATCCTGAAATATTGAGGCCACTGAGGCCTTTTAGTCAATTTCCTTGTCTAGCTGTCTATACTGTGTGGATTACTTCTCTCATTTCTACATAAATTGATGTTTAAGATGTGTTTATTATTTCTGTCATCTTCTGAACTCCTATGAGTATAATATTTGGTTACATCTATTTAGTAACTGCTATCCATCAGCCATCTGCTTTTTTACATAATTTATATAATCTTGGTACTTATACAATCTCCCAAATTCCTTTATGTGTTTTATTTATAATTAGGTAGCAATATAAATTTTATTTTATTATGTTTTCCAGAGTACAAGAGAAGATGCTGACACCACGGCCTTACCTAACAAAATGTCTAAGTTGGTGTGCTTTTAATAGGCCTCTCTCTCCCAGATAATGCCAACAGACACGCTTCTCTATGATTATTGTTAATTATGCATATAAGGATTACTGTGAGTAGGAGAACTCTAAATAAAAGTAACTATTTGATGAAGCAGTTGTTTCATGCTTACCTCTAGCACAAATCAAAGTACCATTCAAATATAAAAATTAAAGCAAAGATACTTGTTCTTAAGCTGGAAGAGCTTTCTTCATTTAAAAAAAATGTAAGTTAGGAAAATATTTGTTGCTTATGAAAACCTAAACAATCATTACTAATATATAGTGTTTTAAAATATTTTAAAGAAAATAATGAGATTATATTAAATTTTTGTAATGCTTTACGGCCCCACTCCCTATTGCATGAAGAGACTGTGAAGTACTTTTCAAAAGCTCAAATAACCTTGATTTTAGAGAATCATCGAGTGTCATAACTGTCTCATTAGGCAAACTATTCACTCACTGGTTGATTGTCATTGCTTTAGGGAGATAGAAATTATTCTTTGTCTCTTTTGATTGCAATGTTCAATATAATTATCCTGAATTGAGAAACAAGTTAAAAAATAAAAAAGATGATGATGTAATTATCTCTGATGTCTCCTTTCCAAGTATAACAATAAAGATACCTCTACGAATAATCTATCTAACTTTAACTTTGCCTGGCTGATAAATGTGGAATCTAGACAGGAGATTATGAAAAACTCTGTTGTTTTTGACAAATAGCAGTGAATGGTTTGGATGTGTGTGACTTAACTAGAGGAAGAATGTATCTAGGTTTCTATATAATATGAATATTTTATTTTTGCTTTGTGTTTTTAAATCATTACATTCTAGAGAGAATGTAAGTAATCTCATTTATTAGATTCCATTCCACTTTTCATATTTGAGCCAAATTTAATATATGTCAAAACTGGTAGTTCTGAAAAAAGTTAGTTTCAACATCTTCAAAATGTGATGCTCTGTTAGGTACATATGCTTAAGAATTATATCATTTTGCAAATTGGGTTATGTAATACTTCTCTTTTTACCTGATAATTTTTCTTCTTCTTAAATTCACTTTGAAATTAATACAGCTACTCTAACTTCCTGTTAAGTAGTGTTGACATACTCCATCCTTTCCTCTGAACTATTTGAGTCTTTATATTTAAAATTAGTTTCTGATAGAAAACGTATAGTTTATATATATATATATATAGTTTCTGATTAAAAACATCTTTTTTTAATTTAGTTTAACAATCTGTGTGTTTTAAGTGGTGTATTTAGACTATTCACATGTATAATGATTATTTATATAACTGAATTTATATATGTGTACTTTCAATTGTCTCCTATTTGTCGGACTTGTTCTTTGTTTCTTTTTAAGCTCACTTTTTCTGCCTTTTCTTATTTGAGGATTTTATGTAATTTCATCTATCTATCTATCTTTTAGTAGTTGTCTATAGTTTACAATATTTATTTTTAATTAATCTTAGGCAACCCATAAATAACACTGTACCATTCATGTATAGGGAAATACCTTACAGTGAGAAATAAAATAAAGTTCTAAGCCCATCAAACCACACAACTGACTGAAACAGAACCTCTCTTGGCCAGCAGGGGCCCAGAGAAATCTTAAAGACTGAGTTCCTGGCAATGACAGGATAAAAAGTTGGACATGCTTCATTATGTTCATTACTTATTAACCTTTAACCGGAATTCTTTCCTAAAGAGTAAGCAGAAACCAGCTCTGGAAAACAACAACAACAAAAAATGAATGCCTCATTTCTTTATTACCTTTAGGCAATCATCTGAGGTTGCGACTAGACTCCCTCCATGCAGTTCCAGTGTGATGGCTCATTAGTTTCACAATGCGTTCCTTGCTATTAATAAAAACTGAGCATCACCTTGAGACTAGTTTTGACCAACTCAAAGTGGAAGATCTGCAGTGAGGGTTCTGTGTCCTGTGCTTCACCTTTGATATAGGAGGGCTGAAACTCCACCCTAAGATCATGCTATAGCTGCAGTTTGTTGACCATGTGACCCATAAAGAGGCATGAAACTCAATTGTGCATGTGCATGTCTCTTCTTTCATAAATATTCATGACTTCTCTCAGAGCTTATTAAATACATATATTTGGCCATCCCACTCAGCATAAAATCCTGTTTTTTCTTTCCCGCACTGGAAGTGCTTGCTCTGGACTTCTACTAGAGGCTACACTTCCCAGCTTGCAGAGTGGCTAGCTTGCAGGGTACAATTCTTTAAGAGAAATAAAGCTCTCCTTTCCAATTCTATAAATTTTTTGATTCCTCAATTGACAAGAGCATTCCCAAATATTCCCTCCTCTTCCTAATTACATTGTTATTATTCATTGTACCTGTCCATACACTATAATCCAAATCCAACACCTTTTTACTATTATTTCTCCTTCATTTTGAAGGATAATTTTCCTGTATGAAGCTCTCAATGTTGACATTTTTCCTTTCAATACTTCAAATGTTTCACTCCATTCTATTTTGTTTGCACAGTTTCTAATAAGAAGTTGGCTATGATTCTTATTTTTGTTCTTCTATAGGTAATATGTTTCATCCTATCTGACTTTTTTCAAGATTTTTATCTTTGTCTTATGTGTTCTAAAGGTCAAATATGATATGTCTAGGTATGATTTTTTAAAAATGTATTCTGCTGAGGGCTTTCTAAGCTTCCTGGATCTATGGTTTTGTGCCTGTCATTAATTTTTGAAAGTTCATGACCATCGTTACTTTCTTTCATCATATGAAATTTGACTTGTTCATGTGTTAATCATTTTATATCATCCCAGGGTTCTTGGATGCTCTTTGCTGATTTATTTTTCTCTTTGCATTTAAGTTTCAGAAGTTTCTATTGGCTTTTATTTAGGTTGTTTCTTCTGTCACTAGTGTAAAATCTACTGATGAGGCCATCAAAGCCAAAGAAAGCCAAAGCCAAACAAAGCCATTCTTTTTTTTTCTTTTTTTTCTTTTTTTTTTTTTTTTGAGATGGAGTCTCGCTCTGTCACCCAGGCTGGAGTGCAGTGGCACGATCTCAGCTCACTGCAAGCTCCGCTTCCTGGGTTCACGCCATTCTCCTGCCTCAGCCTTCCGAGCAGCTGGTACTACAGGCACCCGCCACCACGCCAGGCTAACTTTTTTGTATCTTTAGTAGACGAGGTTTCACTGTGTTAGCCAGGATGGTCTCCATCTCCTGACCTTGTGATCTGCCCGCCTCAGCCTCCCAAAGTGCTGGGATTACAGACGTCAACCACCGCACCCGGCCAAAGCCATTGTTAATATCATTTACAATTTTTTTTTAAATTTCTGAGATTAATTTTTAAATTTGTTCTTAGAATTTTTATCCCTTTTCTTATGCTATCCACCTGTTCTTTTGTATTTTCTGCTTTTTTCCCGGTAGAGTCCTTAAAATAATGATATAGTGATTTGAAATTCCCTGTTTTACAATTTCAAAAATTACATCATACCTGATTTGGCTTTAATAATTACTTTGTCTCTTTAGGCTGTGTTTTCACTTCTGTTTTGACGTGGTTTGCAATATTTTGTTGAAAACTGGACACATTGTAGTGGGTGATAGAAACCAAGGTACGTCGATCACTAGTAGGAAGATTTATGTTAGTCAGGCTAGGAATTGGACTGTGTTGCATATTTTCTGTAACTTATAAGTGTGAGACATTTAAAATTTCCCTAGTATCTTTGTTTTTTCTTCAGTCTTGACTTTGGGCTTTGCTTAAAACTTCTCAGAGAGAGTCTGCGTCTTGCAGCTATTTAGGTTACAACCCTCTATTACACTAGAGCTCTGTCGGTGTGGTGGCATATTGCAGGGACGGGGGAAATTCTATAATATTATAATTAAATCTGTCTTTTAATGGACCTCTTCTTTGGGGCTTTCTTTCACAAGTGTGTCTTCAAAGGTAGTGGTCTCCCCCTGCCAACACCTTATTCCTTTCACAGGGTGCTGTGTCCCCAGTCTATTTCCTTAAAATTCAGACCACCATGGACTGTTTTTATTTCTTTCCTCACCCCTGTAGGTTAGACAGTAAGACTGGAGGAGCTTGTAGTGGGTAAATGGCCTTATGGCAAAGTGCCTCTGCCTGGATATTAAGACTGTGTTATGGAGGAGACTCAAGATGTATTTCACAGTAATTGCTCTTCCTGCCCACCTGTCAGAACCATGAGGGGGCATTTATCAGATATTGTTTATGAGAACCAGTGGAGATTCCTGGAGTTAAACCCATGAAAGTATGGACCTGCTGCCAACATTACCTCTCCAGGAGTTTCTTGCTCTTACATGAGTCCACACTCTGCCCTAGTCATTCATCAAAATTATCATTTAAGTGTTTTTACCAGTTTGTGTCTCCAACAACTTCTGCTCCAGGAAGGACGTTTAGAATGTGTCTTTCTGGGTTCACTTCACTCCAGATCCTAGGGTGGTGGTTTGTTTTGTGCCCTCAGTTCTCTGGTAGGTTCAAGAAAATTCTTTGAATTTCACATTTTATTTTTGTAAGTATGAGAATGATAAATTTCAAGCTCATTTCATGTTAGAGCCGAAACTGGAAATATGCCATGCTTCCTGCAACTCTAGAGATTTATATATGAGCCAATTAACCTGTAAAAAATGATAGCAGTCTCTTGAAAACTAACCAATATAAAAACAAAGAAAGTGATGATGAACAACCTAGTTACATGTGTTATTTATATAGAAAAAAAGTTTAGGAGCACTTGCTGTGTGATACCAACTTTATTCTGGACGATATATTTGATAATTTTATAACTAAGAGAAAGCGTGAAATACTTATGCACATGGAATCTGTAGTGATATGTATTCCAAAGCTATCCTTTATTATTTACATGATTTCAAGTTAAATTTGTTTTCCCACTTTACAGTTTTCGTTGTTTCACTCAATATTAAAAATTTAGTACCTGCAGAAAAGGTGCAATATTTTGATGTGTGCAAATTTGTAAAAAGTGTTTATCACTGAATTACCATTTTTCAATTTTCTAAAATAAGTGTACATTTTACATTTTTCATAACCATATAATTACATATTTAAAGTACATTTAAAATTGATATTATAAACTATGCCAACTTTTTTGATATTTCTTATG